CAGGAGATTTACAATGTTATTTTCAAAATGAGGCCGCATTAGACAAAATTGTTGATGATGTCACTCAGATTTATACCACAATTTGTGACAACCGATTTAGCGGCACTAATTTACAAGTCAGCCATTTAAAACCTCACATTCGTATTCTCCATCGATGGATAGTTGAAAATATCACTCCCAAAAAAAGACATTATAATAATGTTTCATGTTTTCAAGTTTACTTGTTATATTGTTTTGAAATTGGACAAAAATTAGATTTATGCTTTATATTACTAAAAGAAATGATGCTTACAAAATTGGATACTCTGAGTGGCCGGTCACTACCTTTTGGAGCTTTGTTAACCATAATTTTCAAAGCCCATGATGTGAACCTTGAAGGTGAAGGATGGATCAGAATCACTTCACCAATTTCTGAGTATACACTGACCCGAGCTGATGGTGCTGACACCTTGATGGGCTCTATTAATCTTGAAAATCACCCAATACCTGATGAGAAAGAACCTAATGGCAAAGCCATGCCACCAAATGAACAACCCCATTACTGGACTGATTATTTAGCCTTGGAACAAGAACGGTACAATCAGCGTCTACAATGGGAACAACAAATGGCAAATTAGCTCAATACATTGGGTACTCGGTTCGATGAAATTGCCACCGCTCAAAACTCACTAATTAATCAATTTGGTGAGTTTCGTGTAGACTCAGAGAGACACGCTGAACTGACAAGGAACCGCATTGATCTGATTGACCATCGAGTCACTCAGCTGTACCATCAGCATTTCCCTCCACCTCCAATACCACATGACAAGGATGCTTAACTTGTTTAAAAATCAAATAAAATAGTTCACAGATATGGTGGTTATATTTTTTTTTCTTTTTTTTGTTTTGGTTATTTATTTGGTGAGTTTTGTTGTGATTGTTTTACTTTTGTTATTTTGTTATAAACTTTTCTATTCACGTAATGAATAACAACGACGGGTTTTTTTTGGAATCATTTAATTACATACTTATAATGTTATAACAATTTGTGCAAAAAGATTATGCATTGAAAAAATTATTTGTACAAAAATTAATAAATAGTAATTCATAAATGTCTACGAAATCCTTCATTTGAATAAAATGAATAAAAATTACACAATTATTAAATAATTTTTCTGCATCAATTATAATATAAAATTAAATTAATGTTTTGAAATTAAATAAAACAAGTTACAATTTAATAATAAACATTCTTTATTTTAATGAAAATGAAAAAAAAAAGTTAATATAAACTTCTGTACAGAAAATTAAAAAGAATACCCCAGCATTTACAAGAATAACAGCATGAAAATGGTTTGAAGGAGAACACAGGAAAAAGAACAGATGATTTTATTTCGAAGAAAAAAATACGTAGCAGATTAATTAAATTTAAATAGCAGAAATATAACCACAAAAAAAACATTCAGATAGCAGAAATATAACCACAAATAAAAAAAAATCAATTAACATTGTGTTTATATAGGAGGAAACAAATCAGTAACATATAACCACAAATAAAATAAAAAAAAATCAGTTAACATTGTGTTTAAATAGGAGGAAACAAATCAGTAAAAGAAAAATTAAAGAAAAAAAAATCAGTAAAAAAGCCCGGTAGGTTCTAACGAATAAATGAAAAACCGGACGAAGAAATAAAAAACCGGAAGATAAAACCGGAAGAGGTGGGAGGACCGGGTGGTTGACCGGCCTGTCGACCGGCCGAATGACCCAGGGGACGACCGGCCGGGTGTCCCAGGCACTTCCGCTTCAAACAGTTCAAACCATTAACTGATTGATGAAAAGTTCAAACAGTTCAAACCATTAACGAAGAAATGGAAAACCGGAAGACAACGTGGGAGGACTGGGTGGTTGACCGGCCGGTCGACCGACCGGATGACCAGGGAGACGACCGGCCGGGTGTCCCAGGCACCGCCACTTCAGGTTCAAAGGTTCAAACAGTTCATAATTTAAAAGAACAACCGATCTGAAATGGAAAATACGCCTCTACAAATTCTCATAAACCATTTAGGAACTGATTTCAACTTCTCCAAAATCATTTATACATAACAGATGAAGATTGATTTACTGACTATTTTTGAAGAACAAAAAAGTTGAAACAGTTCAGGATGAAGAATGAAATCATTTATCGACTCGTCTGAAACAATAACAGATAAAATCATTTCCAGATAACAGATGAAGGATGAATTTGAAGTACGGATGTTTGATACAGAGAAGCCACCCGTGATGAATTTGAAGGACTGATGTAGATGAGCTTCACGTGAAAGTTGCAGAGACGATGAAGAAGGTAGAAACGTTGAAAGGAAGATACAAGCTGCCAAACAGATTTTCAAAATGTAATTTGAATTAACACACGAAATCAATTTTTGAACGTCGTATCCAAACATCATGCGCGAGCTCACGTGTTGAAAATTGATTTGAATTAACAACCAAACAGAGCCTTTGACTTTTTGGTATGAGTTGTTGGATTTTTGGCTAATTTAGTAACTTTTTGACTTTTTTTGCTAAAAAGTTCGGTTGCCAAACGAGGCCTGAATATATATATATATATATATATATTGTGTGGACCCATTTGGTTAAGGTGTAGGTTAGCATTATCGCTTTACGTGCTAGGGTTTTATACTGGTACCTTGTTGATTTATTTAATTCATTATTTTATTTTATTTTAAATCTTTGCATTTGAATTTGACCTTTTGATTAAAACCTCTGCTTTCCTCTGTTTGGTTGATAAGAAAACAATGAAACAAAAAGAAAATCATATGTTAAATTTCATATATATAGCTCAGGTACCCAACTGATATCAAGTTCGGTTGAGACGATTCCGTAGTTTTTCTGATTCATCGAATTTTTAATTTGTTTTTTCTTACTTAGAATCTCCTTATGTGGAGCTTTTGACTGTAAACTGCATTTACTGGTACATATATCATCACAAGACTTGTATGCATTTTATCATTGCAAGAGAGCTATTGAATAGTAGTTGTTGAAAATTGATTTGAATTAACAACCAAACAGAGCCTTTGATGAGTTGTTGGCTTTTTGGCTAATTTAGTAACTTTTTGACTTTTTTAGCTAAAAAGTTCGGTTCTCAAACGAGGCCTAAATATATATATATATATATATATTGTGTGGACCCATTTGGTTAAGGTGTAGGTTAGCATTATCCAAAATTATAGTATCAGGTATTGTGTGAAAATTGGTAATAGACAAACAATGGACTAAGGTCTCGTTTGGGAATATACTATTTTAGTAACTTTTAATTTTTATGAAAAGATGTGGGGGCACATAATTATTTGCACTTTGGCTTATTGAATTTTTTTATATAAAAAAAAAATTAATCGGATAAATTATTCTGTGGCATCTTTATATTTGACTCATTTCTTAATTCGACTTTAAAAATTTTTTTTTCTTAAGTTTTTTTTATTATTAATTTACTCTTAAAATTAACTTCTATTAAAAATTAAAGAGAAAATGATATATTGACAATCACGTGATGTAAAAATATTTTATTATATATAATTCACACTTCTGATACAAATTCAGATTTTAATATAATAATATTTTTTTATTTTATGTGACAGTTATCGTGATATTTTCTGTTTAATTTTGAACAAAAATCAACTTTAAGAGTAAATTGGAACATGAATGGCCAATTTCACTTTAAGAGTAAAGTGTAATTTATCACAATTAATCACTCTAAACTATTATCTTATTATCCTTAACACTTTCCGTTAAGATTTTATCCTGAGATTTAAATGGAATCATGTCATGTGTGACTTAGGTTTAAGACTTAAGAATTTACTCCTCTTTAGATCTTAGATTCAAAATTTCGTAAATAGGGTTGTACAAAATACCGCTCAATCTGCTAAAATTGCACCAATCTGCATCAATCTACACTACTCTATCAGCTAACCGCAGTTTAAATTTTAAAATTTATAATCTGTCTTCGAAAATACTCCGCTCTGCTATAGTTAATACATATATATTTTTCAACCTATAATGAAATATTTAAATAAAAATGAGTCTGAAAAATATTTAATACATGAAATTTATTATAAATTAGTAGTTATATATATGAAAATATTATATAAAATTAATTTGTGTTATATATTATGTAAAGGCTTGATAATTGGTTAGAATATCCTTAAATTTGTCAATCTGCCCAAAACAGCTCAAATTGCAATTTATCAATCCGCCAATCCACTTTTCCACCATTCGATTTATAGTTTTACTTACAAATCGCCCGAACCGTACCCCACACACCGCTATTCTTAAGTACTATCAATCATTCTATTGAGCCAGTCCATACTCACTTTAAACATTAGGCTGCGTTTGTTTTGGGTATAGATGGAGGGATGAGATTAGAATAGATGTGAGACCCATTTAACGTTGTGTTTGTTTGTAGATTTGAAGAAGGGATTGAAATGGAGGAGGGGATTAGGTTGGGTCTGGGAAGGAGAATTGGGATGGAAGAGATGGACGTCGTAATAGAAAAATAGTCTTAAGGACTAGAATTTTTTATTTATTTTTTATTTTTTACATGTTGGTCATTTTTTTTTTGAACATTAATGTTTAATTTTTTGTTAAGTAAAAATCATTGTTTTATTTGTTTTATTTTTTTACATGTTGGGCATTTTTTTTTAACATTAATATTTAATGTTTTTATATTTATTATTTATTCTATTATTTTATATAAAAATAATCTAACAATCCAATAACTATGATCAAAACAAATATAATTTTATTTAGAGTAATGATTCATCCCCCTTTTCCCCCATCCCCTTTGACCCCCTCTCTCTCTCATTGATTACCTTTTCTTTTTCTTTTTCTTTTTTTTCCTACTCCTCCAATCACCCCCTGCCACGTGGCAAAGGGGGGTGAGGGGGTGACCCTCAAAAGGGGTCCCAAACATTATTCTTTTATTTAATCTCTTCCCAGTAGTCCATGATGCACCTGATTAGTACCCAATCTGCTTTGAAAAACCGGTCAGGACCTTGATCTAGATCCCACCATTCTGTGAGTGCGATCCTTGAGACCTCATAGACTCTCTCTAACTCACAATTGAATTCGATTGCTTTCACACAAGATCTATAACAAGGACATAGAGAGACTCTCCATCAACTTTTCAATCTGGTTCGAAGCCCTTTACGCGCTAGGGTTTTATACTGGTACCTTGTTGATTTATTTAATTCATTATTTTATTTTATTTTAAATCTTTGCATTTGAATTTGACCTTTTGAATAAAACCTCTGCTTTCCTCTGTTTGGTTGATAAGAAAACAATGAAACAAAAAGAAAATCATATGTTGAATTTCATATATATAGCTCAGGTACCCAACTGATATCAAGTTCAGTTGAGACGATTCCGCAGTTTTTCTGATTCATCGAATTTTTAATTTTTTTTTTCTTACTTAGAATCTCGTTATGTGGAGCTTTTGACTGTAAACTGCATTTACTGGTACATATATCATCACAAGACTTGTATGCATTTTATCATTGCAAGAGAGCTATTGAATAGTAGTTGTTGATAATGTTTTTGCTATTATTGTAAATGATAAAGCGATTATCTTGAAAAATACGCAAATGGTAGCAGAGCACATGTGCTATTTCTATGCAGGGTGTCCCCAACTCATTCATACAAAACACATACACACACTCACCTGGAAACCATTTTAATGAATCCACAATTCCACATTCTTCATCAACAATTGTGCAAGATTGTTGCATTTAGGAAATGTCATTCTTTCTTTCCAAGTCCCCCAAGATATAAATAAATAATAATAATAAAAAATGTTAAGTATGTTTTTATTGACTCTTGATCATAGGAAACGAACAAATATTCCACACAAGGACTAGTAAGCCCAAATGCACATATAGCTCGCCAAAAGTGCCTAATTTTCGAGCACGGAGACTTGTAAGTACACACTCCGTGTAAAACAGAGTTCTTTTATTTTTTTATTTATAAATTTAATTTCCTGAAATCATGAAACTTACACACACACCCTCTTGAGTTCCTATAAATCCAGACCCACATACAAGACAAAAGGGCCTAACTTTTGGAGGAGTATCACCTTTGGCTTTTTAAGTTTTGGAGTAATGTAAAACTGCCTAGGTGATACTGCTTTGGCAACGGTGATTTGTAATATAAATTGTAACTACCGTACTTATGTGGGTGTTCAATCTCCTAGTATTGTAAACCTTGAAATGTTGGGGTTTGGAAAATGTGTAGAAATGTAGTTAGTGCATGCTACTTTTGCAAATATTGAGTAAAATGTTTTGGAGGAAATTTTGCTTAAAAGGATATTGTGTGCTTCGGAGAAGTATGTGAAATCTCTGTTTTCCATTTCTTTTTCACCATGGAAACCCAACTTTTTAAAGGGACAAGCATGAATGAGTTCATGGCCAACTAATATAGTCAGCATTTTCAAAACTATCATTACATTTAACGCTATTGATTGAGCTCACAGTCATTTGAAAGGGATAATATTGTAAAATCATAAGGTTAAGTACCTGCAATTTTCAAAATGAACAACCATTTTCGGACATCCCAAAGTAGAATAGTGGACCAAAAAAGAGGGACAAAGTACTGTAGCAAAGAATTTTACATCTAATAAATAAGGCTAGAAATCTAAAGGCAACGACGAATAAGAAAATAATCGTAGTCTTCTATTTGATTCAAGATTGAGATCCCAAAAGATTTCATTTGCAGGGGAAATTAAGGATGAAACATTATATACCACTTGAAGTGGAAGAAAATTAAGGATCTCTTTTTCTTGAAATGACCCAACAGATTGTAAACGAAGTCATTCTCCTGGATTTTTTGTCCTCATATTCAAATGCATTTAAAATGCTACAAACCATGTGTTAGCTTAATATATACTATTAGGCTCATTTGTTGGGACAATTGGTGATCTAATGTGGTATATGAAGTCTGGTTCCAGGAGATTTTAATGGGTTCAAGTCTTGCCACCTCCATTATCTATGTCATTATGCACCTTGGTTTGTCTATGTTTGCACGGTGTTCACTAGTCTATTTGTTTCTCTACATGTGAGTTTTGGCACATGAGGGGCGTGTTAGTTTGATATACACTGTTGGGAGCTGGGTGGGACCATTTCCTAATAGTCTATGCTTTTGGGACAATTGGTGATCTAACACCATGAACGCTTGACTATCATCCATGAGATATCAAGTTGAGGTAAGAGATGTTTCCAGAGAAGGGGAATGTTTCCGGAGGTGAGGAGTGGCATCTCTCTCAGTACAAAGTTATCAACTATATTGAAATTACAAACTCATTCTAGCCAAACAAAGTAGGAGCCAATACTAGGATACGTAAACATGAAATTGCTATTTTGGTGGCATTTGTATACTCTCTCGTGTGTGAATCGATATAGTAAAATGACATTGAGGTCTGCTACAAGCTGCTTTTACGAATGGAAATTTCAAATTTGAATGTTGTGAAAAAAAATGGACACATGATGTTTCTGCATGTGCCAACTCCAGTTTCACAATTGCTAAATGCTTGTGTGAGAAAACCAGCTGAACTCAACTAAGCCTCAAATCAACTACTTGGTTTGGTATGTCAACAATTAAGAATAGTTAGTCGCAAACTTTTAGTAGCTGAATGATAAAAATTATGCATTTCATTCAGCCAGCAGTGAGAGGCAAAGATTCTGGTTAAATAAAATTTAGTTTACTTGCCTTTGTTATTTTTTGTTGGTACATGCATTTGTTTTTTTATGTATATAACTTTTTAGTTTATTTGTTTTCACATGCGATATTATTTCTGTTTTATCTTTCTTTCTTGTTTAACATGACTATTAATTTTGTTTCATAGCATTATTTTGTTCAATATGCACAATTTGAATGAAATGAATTACAATATTGTTTATTTTCTGAATTTTCTTCTTACCTGCAGCTCACAAAAAAATGGATAAATGACATCTGTAAATTAGGGTCCTTATGGAGAGCACATCTAGTGAAGCATTTGATTTGGATGAAGGTGAAAGTTGCTTTCCAGTTGAAAGCTACAATCAGAATGATTTCACCGATGATGAATTGTCCAAAAGTATGGATATGTGTATTGGCAAAGATGACAAGAAAATAGATCAATCTGTTGGAAATTTAGCTTCAGTTGACAACGCTGTAGAACCACACATTGGCTTGGAGTTCAATTCAAGAGATGAAGCTCGAGAGTTTTATGTTGCTTATGGTAGGCATACAGGCTTTACTGTGCGCATTCATCATAATCGCCGTTCTCGAATCAACAATATGGTTATTGGTCAAGATTTTGTTTGTTCAAAAGAAGGTTATCGTGAAAAGAAATATGCATGCCGGAAAGATAGAGTTCTTCCTCCACCACCCATCACCCGAGAAGGCTGTCCTGCAATGCTTAGGGTTGCTCTGAGGGATGGAGCTAAGTGGGTTATTACCAAATTTGTAAAAGATCACAATCACAGTTTAATGTCTCCTAGTAAAGTTCCGTGGCGAGGATCTGGAAAGAATTTGGTCAGCGAGGTATGTTTATGTTTCATTTCAAATTTTGTTTTTATTTCACTATTTTAGCTGGGGTGCAGTGACATATGCTTGATGTTCCTTATGAAGCCAATTTTTACATCCTATCTCTAGTTTTACTTCACGTTGATGGGATTATCAGTGATCACCTCTTTTACATAAGTGAGCACAGATGTTGAACTTCATACTAAATGGCTTACACCAAGCTCCACTGCCCAGTTTTACTTGATGGGATTATCACTGTTCACCTCTATCTATCACATAAGAGCACATATATTGAAGTTCGTACTGAATGGCTAAATCCAACCTCTACCTTGCATTACGTTTGTAGGCAAGTCACTGTGAGGGATCTTTAGAATAAGTATTGTGAATTATATTTTTACTTGAAAATATAATTATTTTTGGTTAGAAATGTACGCTGATATTTATATATATATATATAAAGAGGCAGTTGAGCCTCTTCTGCTTTGACACAATTTTCAAGTCACTATTTTTGGATGTTTTTCCCCCCTTACAAAGTTATGAAGTACTATGTACAGTAAGGGTACTTCAGGACATACATTATTATTATTATTATCATCATCTTTCAGGACGATTCACTCTCTCTCTCTCTCTCTCTCTCTCTCTCTTATTGCGCTTTCTTCATCCTCATCTGATTGTTTATTTCCTTAATTATTCATCTTCTAATCACTCCCTCTCTCACCATCTCTGTTTTGGTGCTGTTGGCACATAAATTTCGACTAAATTTATGACACGTATAAAGCCTATGATAGGAAGGTTGTAGGTAATCACTCCCTAAAAAAAGATCAATATGATCCGTTGAAGTACATAAATAAAACGACGTTGTATCTCAGCAACGTTATTCAGGATACTCAAATGACACGTGGAGCCTACGAAAGATGACACTTGTAGAGCCTACAGCAAGGACACCACACAGGATGGAACCCCAAAGATCAATCCGGTTAAACAGATATACGATTAATCAGATAGCGCTATTATTCAAAATTCAAATGGCGCTATCATTCAATTTGAAATTCAAATTGAAGATGAGGCATTCCTATCACCTGATGGCCCTCTATAAATACGAGGACCATCACACAAGACTGGGGATCAGAAAATCAGAAGTCAAAAGATCAGAGAGAGAGAGAGAGAAAGAAATTGAGAAGCTAAAGAAGTCGTTACAAGAAAGAAGAAGAGAAACCTAGAGAACTCAAGAGCCTACACTAATGGCGATGAATAGGTAAAGGGTTCAAAGCCCATAATAATTTTAATAAAATATTTATTTTTCTTAAATTGTTTTTTGTTGTTTATTTTGTTCTTCATTAATCGGAGGTTTCATTTGTATAAAAATGTGTAATTAACGATCTGAAATATAGATCGGAAATAAGAACCTGCTATTCAAATAATCAATACTGTTTAGTCTTTGGACATTTGTAACATAAAATTTTGAAATGTGTTGAAACACTTCATGTTTTAAAATTTGTGTCTACAGGTGCTAATATACATTGTTAAAATCCACCTACTCTCCACCTACTTCACCCACTTAAACCTACTCCATGCTAATATACATAATGAAAAGATAAAATTGCTTCTTTTTTTTTTTTTTTTCTTTTTTTTGAGGAAGTAAAATGATTGTTTCTTAAACTAAAAATTTTGAGAATTAATTTTTATCATCCTTATTTTTAGAATTGATTTGTATAATGTACAAGTAGCATTATTTCCAAATGTATGAAAACTCTCATACTTTAATCCTAAGAATAATTTCTTAGTGTTTGGTTGTTCTGTGGCAGAGAAGAATTTTAAAAATAATGGTACAATGTATCTCATTGGATATAGTCCTACTCTCAAAGCTACAGTTGCTTCTATTAAGTTCTCTTTAACTGCAGATGTGATGACAGTCCTTAGATTCGAAATCACTTTCGACATTTCAGTCTTGTTCACATATCAACCACCATGTCTTGTTGTTAGGCTATTAGCTGACTATGTTACATGGACTCTTCAAAATAAATCAAATACCCGTGTCGGACACCCAACACTCGGACAAGGGTATGAGATATGCGTCGGATACTTTTCATCGGATACTTCTTATATAATTGTATACAATACTATTATTATTATTATTATTATTATTATTATTATTATATATATATATATATATAGTTGTACAATAGCTATAAATGTCTTTTTGATACTACATTTATCCCAAAAAAAAAAGTCTTTTTGACACTATAAATTACATATAGGACCATTTTATCTCACATACTTGATTAAAAATATAAAAATATGGTATTTTTTTGCCAAGTCCGCGTACTCTTTATTTTATGGTTTGATGAGTCCTGCCCTCCAGATACATACCTACACCCGACACCCGTACTCAAGTCCATAGTTGATACTTTCAGCAGTACAAGAAAGCTTAATCTTAAGCTTTTAGCAGCCACTGATCAATATCACCCATGAAAAGATAGCAGACAACATAAGTAATCTGAGCTGATAGTTGACTGGGCACTCAGTACACCTGTGCTACTAGGGAGTGCTATAATTGACTGAACAGATCTATTATTCTGTGCTACTTGGGAGGACGATAATTGACTTTTAGAGCTCTATTATTATGTGAGTTAAAATGTTGTTTAGTTCTACTGATATATATGGTTTTAGAAATAGCATTGAAGTCTTATTGAGGAAGGACTTGTAAGAGTGATATCAGTTACCAGTATATTGGATGGCCACCATATGTGTGTATTCAATTCAGTTCATGACCGCTGGTCTGAACTTAATGTTGTTTTGCTCAACAAGTTATAAAATTAACTGTCTATGTTTTCAAATTTTATATTTTATGCTTCAGTGACCATCCAATGATTAATTCCTTTATTCTCAGTAAGCCATTTGACTTGTGCATTTATAGCTCCCCTCATGAATTGTGAGTCAATTTCATTGCACATATATCCTTTCTACAGAAGAACTTTGTATGTTTGATAATGGACATAAGAAGTTTTCTGTATATGTAAAGTTCAAGTATTGTCAAGACCAGTAACGACAATTTTGATCATTTTGTTGTATGGGAATTAGGTTAAATAAATTCCTTCTAGAGAGACCAACAGAGTGCTTATTCTTATCGTTCAGTATTACCTTTTCATTAAAAAATAGTTTTGTTATTTTCCTCATTGTAGGAATATTACCTGGATTTTCTCCCTCCATTGACTTCTTCACTTCTTACAGGATGAGAAGGATCAAAGAATTCGAGAGCTGAAACTTGAACTTTACAATGAGAAACAACGATGTAAACGCCGGTGTGCAGGTTACCAGGAACAGTTGCATATGGTATTGAAGTATGTTGAAGAACATGCTGAGCACTTATCAAGAAGTGTTCAAGATATGGTCCAGCGTATAAAAGAGCTTGAAAATGAGCAGCTAGATGGTTCAGATTAGGGTCAGTATAATTTGTAAAAAATTTCTTGTTAATTATTATGATTTTTTTTTAAAATAATTTTTTTCGGTTCTTCTAATGTGATCTTTACTTAATTTACCATCATTTAGTGTGGTGAATTTATACACTCTATGAGTTGGATATACTTTGATAAGAGCCAAAGAGGTTGATTTGTCTAGCATAACCCATAGGCGTGAACCAGGAATAGGCAAATAAAGAGATGAAAAAAGATGTCTTGATGAAGTTATTTATGTGTAATAACTATTTATATGAAGTGTAATTTTGTAATAATAATTTCACATCCATTCATTGTATTAGAGGTGGATTTGGGGTGGGGTGGCAAAACATTGGAAGGACTAAAGGAGTGTGCAATATGTCTTTATTTAGGGTGAATTACATCAAGAGTCTCTAATTTTAATGCAATTTTAATTTGAGTAATTTCAATTTGAACCTTTAGGCCATGTTTGTTTGGGCGGACTGGATTAGCATTCTCATGACTAATAGTCCTAAGATTACGAATCCGTTGGATTATGTATCCTATCTTAACTAATAGTCAAGTTTAAAATAATTAATCCGTACTTCAATTGTTTAACCAAATATCGGATTAATAATTTTATTGGACTATTAGTCCAATCCCAAGTTCATGTCTACCCAAACAAACATGACCTTAGTGTAGGTGGATCCCCAGTATGAAGTGAAAGCATTTAGCCCCAATTTGAAGTTGATACTTTGACATTCACAGATTGGTTGCCTTGCCACCCCTTCTAGCCAATTGGTGGGGTTCAGAATGAATCTGTTCAGGAGAGCATTTCTGTTAAGGCTGCTAACTAACTAACTACTTGCCTAGATAAGTTCTGGTGAAGTTTCTCTCCTACAAATAATAATTCAAAACGGAAAAAAAAAAAAAAAAGACAAGTTTTTTCGTTTTGTTTTGGGTGGGTGAGGAGCTGTAGGTTTGGCAATTTTTTTTTTTTAATTTTTTTAATCTAGTGTTATTTTATTTTTATTTTAAGAATTTTGTTGGATCTCCTAAAACATCATCCTTAAGTCCACTTACAGTAGCAGGTGTTGTGTCATTGTTGGCTACATATTTTGTAAAAGACAAATTACAGTTCAACGCGTAGCAGAGTAAGGGTAATATAGGAAGACTGTTCAAGTCTTCGATCCTGATCGTACACGTGACAGTTGATATTGTCTATTGCGTGATCCGAGTAACATTGGATCAGCAAAGAGATGTAAGGTGACGTGGCTTCAGCAGTTACTCACATTCAAATTCAAATATAGGAGAGAAGTTTAACTGCAAGTGATGGCGTAGTGGAACTACTTGTAAGACAGCATGTTTAGTGATCATGGAGGAGCAGTTCGACAGTTTGAAGTGCAGTTCGTTGGTCATCTTTGAGGAGTATAAATAGCAGGGAAGACTCCAGAAAAAACCCCCAGACTTAGATCCAAGAAGCTAGTCTTACCTTACATATTTCGTTCCAGTTTTTATATTTCCTGTTATTTACATTCTTGTACTTTAAATTCCTGCACTGCACTTCATTCATAAGAGTAGTTTTAAGTAGATTGTCGCTGTAAACCTCTACGACGCTGAGCTTGGATCATTGTAAGTTTTTCATACTAATGAAATGCTTCAATTGCTCTTTATTTAACTGTTCTTGTGCTTAAATTTTCTTAAATCATGCCACCAGTAAAAGTCCTCTTCATTGAGGCTGAAAGAACAACAACACAATCGTCTGATAATTGGTTGGCAATCAAAATTCTGTAAGGACTGATTGATCCTTGTTGGCATGCTCATAATTACAAAAATAACCTTCGAAAGCCAAAAAGTCAACATATATTTTGGCACGCCCAGTGGGACATATTTAAAATGGCTAGACGTAGGAGACAAGGAGAAAATGAACGTTTAAAAAAAGGCGTGGAAGGAGAGGTAGAAATACCTAATCTAGAGGATAATGTGATAACACATCCTGTGGAAACTCCTATTTTATCAGAACCTATAGTCGAACAGACCAGTACTTCAAAACAAATACCATTTGTTCGTAATATTGGACGAGACCAAGGAATTGGACCATCCACTGTCCCATCTACTCAGCCAGTGAATCCATGGGGTGGCCTAGTAGATGCCATGGGACAGCAATTAATAAACACAATGGAAAGGTGGGCAATATCCTTTTTGGATCGAATGAATAACCACCAACCAACAAATGCAAGACACGTGGAGGAAGTAAATGTCCCTCAGCAAAGATTGACTAGAGATAAACAGCCTATGCAAGTTAATGGACATTCTAATGGTCAAACTAGTAATCAGAGTCATGAAAGACCACCACCTCAGTCTTGGTACGAACTCATTTCGAGGCCTATAGCAGGCCAAAATACCTCAATGTTCAACAGTGAAGCCATGTAAGTTGGTGGATCTGGCCCGGTACAAGAAAATGGCACAAGAATGGTTCCAAATCCCACGTTCGAAGCCATACCTGGCACTAAGGGGTACAATAATCCCTTATTCGAATTTATACCCGGGGGGTTGGAAGGTTTTCCCATAATGGAAGGGATACAACACCTATTCCAGCACCTTTTGTAGGTCCCTTCGCAGGACAGGCTCAAAGAGGTTACCCACACCCCCAACAGCAACCTGTGCCACAGGGACAACCAGTCACAAATGTACCACCCTATGGACCAAGAGGACCACAGGCACAAGTTTGTCCACCAAATCCTGTGTTTGTTCCACCAGTAATAGTGGTGGTTCAACAGGCACAAAATATGGTCCCTAGGGACCAAATTGCTGACATCGGTAGGGAGATGTGTGGACCAATGGCTCGGGGGGTCTAAACTCCTGTGTACAGAAAACCATACCCAGAATGGGTCGACAGGGTACATGAATACCCAAGGGGTTTCAGAATACCAGATTTTGTCCTTTTTTATGGGAACGGAAACCAATCAACAGTTGAGCATATTGCTAGGTTTGCTGCTCAATGTGGTGAATTTACCAATCATGACTATATAAAGTTGAGACTATTCCCAAACTCTCTAACTGGGGGAGCATTTGTATGGTACATTAACCTTCCACCTGGCTCTATCCAAACTTGGCAACAAATGGAAGAGGCATTTCATGCCCAATTCTTCCAATCAAAGCCAGAAGTTTCCATGGCAGACTGGGCAAGATTGAGTCAAAGGCCTGAAGAAAAGGCTACTCAGTTTATTGCCAGATTTAAAAGGACTCGAAATAAATGTAGAATAATCTTGCCAGAGCCAGAATTCGTAAGATTGGCCCAAAATGGCTTAGAGTTCAGGCTTCGAAAGAAGTTTGACTCAACAGAGTTCAGGGACTTAATGGAACTGACTTACAAAGTATCTAGATATTAAGCATTACTAGAAGAGAAGCAAGATCGAAATAATGCATCATATAAGACATACTACAAAGATCCTAACTATAAGATTGATGCAGCAGAGATTGTAGGGAAAGAGCCTATGGCCTGCGATGCATTAATTCATAAGGATACTACAATAGACCAACAGTTTAAAAAGAAAGGCCACATAGGAAATACTTTTTTGATTTAACAAAAGCAGATGACATTTTTGATCATTTGTTTGCGACCAACTTCCTTAAGTTACCAAAATGGGTTAAAATTCCATCTCTTGATGAACTTAAAGGAAAAGTATATTGTAAATGGCATAATTCTTGGTCTCACTCGACTAAGAACTGTATTATATTCCGAGACAGGATCCAAGAACAAATTCGGAAAGGAAGTTTGAAATTCCCAGCCAAAGAAGAAAAGGCCATGGGGATCAACAGTAATCCATTTCCAAAAATTGGAGAGGTGGCAGCCAATGTCATTATGCCAGATTTTCAGAACCTGTCTTTGAAAGAATTGAAAGAGGTCAATGTGCAGATGCATGTAGCCAACCAGACAACTATCAAGAAAGACACTGGAAATCTACCAGCTATTGGACAAGGTTTCTCACACCAGAGGGAAGACTCTGAAGAAGAAGCATTGGATGAGATTGACTCCCTAGAGCAGCCGATGCAAAGGATTGTCCAGGATCAAAAGACTGTGAGTTATAAGTGGTTTGAAGCCTTCCAGTCGATGGGAAAGCAATATTAGGATGTGCAGAGGCGTCCAAACCAACCAATCTTATAATAAAGACGGTATTTCGGCTAAGGTTAGCACAGCCATTAGTAGTTGCCTTGCAGTTGATAGAATGCATGCTAAAGGCAAGAGGCCCTTATATATACAGGCACCTCGAACTATTACAATGGGAGTAAGTCCTCTGAAGAAGACTTGGGTAGAAGAGTTGGTTTAGGAATCAAAGCCAGAGATTCGGCCCCGCAGCCAGCCTACGAAGGATAGAAAATCGATCACCATTCATCAAAGGCCTGATCAGGCCAAAGCTTGGGGTTCAGGCCAAGACATTGCCGTTCAAGCCAGCTTCAGAAGTGGCCTCGAAGGAAAAAAGGGCAGCACAACATCTTGGGTCGTAAGTTTCGTGAGGGTACCTGGAGTTCCAAGATTGGTTTGTGATGCCAGAAACAAACCTAGGGAAAGGGTGCTTACCCAAAGGAATTTTGGAAAATAAGGTAGGATGGTAAGCCTCCTTTGTGCCCACCATTAGGTTTGCTGAAACACCCAAGAACCGAAGGCTAATATGGTCCCGTCAATTTTGCAGATCACAAAGGGAGGATAAATTCAGCCGTAGGTCACCAGTAAGCAAAGACCTGAAAGAAAGCTGGAGATAGATTCTTCCATTGATCCAGACCAGAGGACAGAAGAATCAAAGTCAGACCATACTCCAAAGCCAACTCTACAAAGCAAGGTGGGTTGCAGCAGAGAACAGTTGGCTAAGGTTCATTCTGAACTAAGAGTCAGAGAGAAGGCTAGCTTAGCAGGATTGGAGAAAGCTCTGATAGAGAGTGGTAGCGAGACAGAAGAAGAAATTGGCATGAGCCAAAAGAAATAAATTGTGGAAGAAGAAATGTTCGAAGCCTTCATGGCCGAACAAACATTTTTTGTTGAAAAACCAGTCGAGGAAAACCATTCGAAGGAACCTGTTAGCAATGAAGTGCCAGAATGCAGCATGCAGGATGCTTCTGACGTAACTGACCAAGGTAGCCAATAGGGGAAACAGGTACAGCCAGCCATCCAGTTTGGCTCGTTTCCTCTAGTATCAGTAAACATGGTACACATATTACTGCATGAATTCCAAGCTGGAGATGAGAATCAAGAGGGGCAAGAAATTGACCCAATTCAAATCTCTAGTGAAGACTCACAAGCGAGTATGGTACAAGATAATTTCGGAATGGTTACCCCAATGGAAA